TGAGCCTTTAAAGAACTTAATATTTCAAATTCTATCCCCAAACTACAAATACCAAACGTTTTGACGATGAAAACTTTATAGTTTTAGTTTTGTTTATACTTTGTAGTTTGCACTCCTACTCAAATTCAACATGGCGGATTTATGCATTTTTGTTTTCAGTTTGGACACCGGTCACGTGACCAAGCACGCATTCTAGGTCTAATATTTCTATGGTTTGCACTTTCATTTTTTCCTGTTTTGGACATTTAATGGCTTCCATGACCAAATCTGTCTTTAAATTTGTAGCACTTTAACAATACTTGAATTTTTAATAACCTATTTTGCATAGACATAGTACTAGTGTTCTTTCCGTTTCTACATAACCGAATATGGCTCAGAATATATAAGGCTCAAGAACTGAATATTCAAATATTGTTTCACAGATTTACATATCCGGATTTTTACCTTAAAAAGTCAGTATTGCTATACATTCACTTAGTGGAGCTCAAAGACAAAGTTTATTAGTATGTTACTGAATCAAAACAAAAGAAGAAAAAGCGAAATGCTGCTGAAAAACGGTGAAACAACCCAAGACCGCGTATCGACTGCTTGCATTCGAAAGACTGGAAATAGTATTACCTTCACGAAACTCTAGATCTAGCAAGTGTAATTACGAAAATTACGATGGCGGTGTAGACTGAGTGAAATTCCTAATCTTATATACCTTTAGCTAGCTGTTTCATTTTTTCCTGTTTTGGACATTTAAATTAACTAGCTTCATGACTAAATCTGTCTTTAAATTTGTAGCACTTTAACAATACTTAAATTTTTAATAACCTAGCTGTTTTGCATAGACATAGTACTAGTACTCTTAAATTCTTAGTACTAGTAAATTCTTCTTTTTCCACGTATTTACTCGTTTCATTTTGGCAAACATCCCCCCATTTTCGTAGACTCGCACACGCGCTTGATGTTTAATTTAACCCTGGATGAATCATGCAGTTCGGAATATTGTTCGAGTAGTGTTCAAATTTTGCACGCCGCGCGTTCGCACTGGACGCATGAATCCAGAGGAATGCGAGCACAACTAAACCCTTTCCGTGTGAACTATATGGAACTGGGGATGTTTTCGTACGATTTTGCGGGGATGGCAACCTCGTTCCCAGGGCTTTCGTATGAGGACGAGGCGAGGCACGAGAAAGCCCTGGTCTGGGCCGGTCAATTTTGCATTCTACGCGGCGAGGTTTTATATTTGTGTTTATTTATATATTGAACTAAGACAGATCTATAAGAGCATATTTAAACTAAATATTAATAGCAATAGCCATACTGTTCAAGACGAGAGAAAGCAAATTTCGTGTGAATCACCACTTGCATGGAGACGCCTAGATGCAGCTTGGATGCACTTTGCCTGTGGTTGAAAATCTCCAGAAATATCGGTATAACATAGACGGGGTCTTCAGAGATTTCAGCTGATTCGTGCCAAACTTCGCTCTACACATAAATAATATCGATTGAGAAGTCTTTTGGCTGTTTATTTGGGTTAGCACTTTTTTCCATCCGGCAAACCGCCCTATCGATTTTTTAAAGTCGTTTTTTTTTGTTGTTTTTTTATTAATTCTGTTAGGGTTAGGGTTAGAGTTAGAGTTGAGGTTAGGGTTAGGGGTTAGAGTAGAGGTAGGATTTGGGTTAGTTACAGAGCCATTTAACACCTCTTCTATCTTGCGAAAATGACGTCAGGTCAGTTTGCTGGATGGAAAATAGTGCTAACCGTTTATTTGTTTCGAAGACTTGTATATTTCATTAAAGAATATCTCGCCACTCCTTGACGAGTAGCTGTCAAATACTGCCAGTTTTTGGGTAGTCACGTGACCGACCCAGACCAGGGCTTTCTAGTGCCTCGCCTCGTCCTCATACGAAAGCCCTGGGAACGAGGTTGCGGGGATGGATCAAGCCAGATCTGGTTGGTGGGGGGGGGGGGTATTCATCAAGCTTTGATCATGGTACGACCATTAATCAACTGCTTGGGCTACGGCAACAAGGCACTAGTTTGTAATCTTGCATGCTTAACAATTTCACAATCACGTAAATCTCTCATTTTTTCGAACTATTTTCTTTTTGAATTTTTCTGTGTTGGTGTGGTGTACTCAGGTGATTATGATGCTTGTGATGTTACTCTGAGCGTATATTCACACCAGGCAAGCTTGAAAAATATGCCTGACCACGGTGGGAATCGAACCTACGACCTTTGGATACTAGCCCAATGCTCTGCCAACTGAGCTATACTGAGCTAGGTTTATTCCAATTCACGCCTTCGGATAACCCTAGCAATTATTGTTCCATTAATACCGAAGCATAAATCTACAATCATTGCAGAAATTAGTTGGGACATGTACTTGCTAAAATATCTACTACACAACGGTGAATGGGTGCTGAAATAGCATTCAATGTTGTTTAACACATCACTTATTTTACCGCAATTTATTCTACTTGATCAGGTTGATTTGTGAAAAAAAACAACATTGTAAAAGGGGGAGGGGGATATATGTCACCTATCAGGACAAGTGTCCCAACATTTTCTGCAAAGACCGGTAGGCTGACTAGAAGGAGCCAGGTATTAGAATGATGTGCACGCGAATGAATCAATGTTGCATGCCTGCTGTCTAAATGTGGACAATATAGTTACTAGGCATGTGAATTACCTGAATAAATTGGATAGCAACGCCATATAACAAGCAAATTTGTCTATATTACCTTTCCGAAAATTATTTGATAAAAAAATTGCATGGCAAACTCTTGCGCTCTTTTCCAATTAAATCCACTCCAGTAATTCCTGAATTCGTCCAGCTTCATGTAAACGTAGTCCTAACGGATTGAAATTGATGTCCAATAGTGCTTGAGTACACACGAAACAATAGCTTGAAATCGAGGCGAATATAATGTCAGGAATATATCCGCGTAAATAGGTAGTTTGCCAGCCAGCGGTTCCTGGAAGTATCTATACTCTATGACTATATTCGCCATCTTCACCTTATTTGAGGAAAATAACATTATTACTCCACTATAATTATATATGACCTCGCTGGGTTCACTTCAACTGATTGGCGCTCAGCTCCATGCAAATTCCCTTATTTGGATGGATGACACCTTACGGGCCTCACGCTTAGCCGAAGAAAGAATCTTTCGGATGATATTGGCCTTGACAATTATGTACTTGTATGAGCTTGTAGAAAACCGATGAATTACTGATACATCATACACGTATATTATAGCTAGTATCTCAATACAGGGCCTTCATTTTAGGAATTTTCTAGCGGGCAGGGGGTATCAAGTAAAATGGACCTAACTCGGAGGAGGGTGGTAAAGACTATTTTCATAGTGCGTGAAGGGAGAATTGCCATTTCATTGCGTGCATGAAATGAAAGTCTGTGAAACGTGAAATAAAAGGTTTTTTCTTCGTGAATCGTGAATTTGTCGTTTTATTTCTCGTGAAACGCGATTATTCCCCCCTTTACCACTGGCTCAGAAGTGGTGAAATGTAAATATGTGACTGATCACTAGGAGGGTCTGGTAGTCCTCAAGTATTGACTTTTACAACGTTTGAGAGTTGATTTCATGCATTTTTCGACACATGCTTTTATTTCTTCTAGCAAGCCCCGCCTTAGCAAACCCTGAACTTTTAGTATAAAAACAAGGGACTTTGCTATGGGGGTATTAAAAAATCTCCTAACGGCTCGGTTATTCTTCCCGTTTTTGGTCATCTTTTAGGAGGAGAGGGGTAGTTAACGGAGATGTTGCCCCCTAGCCATGATAGAGCATCCGAATAGAGAACGAATTCGAAACTGAACTGTACCAGTTTACTTTTGACTGCATTCCATGAGTTCCCTTATCTCGCAATTTACATCCGGATACTGAAAGAATTCGAAAAACTGCACCTAGTGATTTTTTAAAATTTTGCCTACATTCCACAAATTCCACCAAATGATATAAAATTAATGCAACTGATACTGCAATACATAAGTCCTCATTCTGGGCAAAATAGTCAAAAAGTGTGATGCGTGTGTGTGTGTGTGTGTGTGGGGGGGGGGGG